GAGAGCGGACATCCGAAAAGGTCGTGTCGACGGTATACTGCACTCCAACGTCACCTTTTACTTTTGACCAGACCATTTCAATAGGTTGAAGATCCGAGTGATGTGGCGGAGTGTAGACCACGTTTTGCCCACGTGCACGCGCCATGGTCACGACAACCGGGTCGACACGAGTTGCTATGTAATACAGGTTTGAGCCGTGACCATATTGTCTTCTTCAAATTCTTCACGTCAACATCAACTCCGTAGCGCTGGCACGCGAGAAGTAAGTCCGTCTTCCGCCAAGTACCACGCGGGGTCTCCACAGGTAAGACCTTGTGGTACTTTGCATTATCCATAACGAACGTGACACCAGTCTTCCCCAGAGATTCGACTTCGTCCATGACTCTCACGAACCATGAACGAAATACTCGTGGTCAAACATTCCATGGTACTCTTTCGGCTCCTTCTTTCGTTTTTTCCCACCCTCGAAAATGTCGAGACCAAGCAATTTGGCATCCTGTGGTCCGTCGGCCATAATACCAGCGATGAAGCACAACCGACGACCCTTGTGCTTGGCCTTTGGAGCTGCGTCGTACGTAGGGTCGAACAAACTGTCTTGATGACGGGAGTAGTGGTGGTGAATGTAGCTCTCATCCAGAAAGACAACAGGCGTCTCTGGTGGCAGCCGCGTCATATGCTGCATGTAAAGGTCACGAGCTGCGGCATGTGCACTTGAAACACTGTACGTGGCATGACCTCGGCGTTTGCCACGTTGAAAGCCTAGCTTCGCAAGGTACACTTGCACTACCCTCAAACTTCCTGACGTACTTGCTTTGTTGTCAAGGTCACAGTGTATGATTCCGTTTTCAACCAACAAGGCCAATACGTCCTTGGCAACCGTGCGGACGTTTGTCATGCTGCATTGACGGATGAATTGGCGAACGAGCGTTGTGACTGCACGTGTTCAAGGTATACAACTTGGTTTTTGGTTCTGGTTTGACGGAATGGGCGCGACAACGACAGTTCTCGATCTCTGGTATTCTGTCCACACCTCCTTGACGACTTTCAAGTTACGTCCTAGGACCCGGGAGATCTTTTCGGACACGTTGGGGGTGTTTTCACGGCGATAAACAGCACGGAGACGGAGTATATCAAGACGTTCTTTAGTAAGATTTCTTGGACGCATAAGTCGAATGTAGTTGGTGATGTCATCATGTATTCGTCGTCGCTGATGGTGGCCCTGCCGAACTTCGTGAATGGACGACACTACACCACAGTATTATTCTAAAGAGGTAAGGCTTTCACAGATCGAATTAATTAAAATATTACCCCTCGAAACTTTTGTTTATTAATGTATGTAGGTTATTGGTTTTTGCTGAGAAATTTGGATAAATTGCTCTACTTTCCGCAAAATATCTCAAAGGTTATGCATTTTCAAGTTTTGCATTCATTAACAGTCCACGAGACCATCGAGGGGTTTTTTCAACGAAATTCATGTTTTGCCCAACGTTGGGTGATGAAATTGCACA